GCCGAATACTGCCAGGTTGTCCAGGCCAACGCAGGTGAATTTTCTTGAGGAATCCACAGCCGGAGCCTTCGGCGAGCCAAAGCCTAACCCGCAAGGCAGCGGAGCGGTGTGCGAAAACCGCAATCCATTGGGGGTCGGTGTCCAGTCCATCGGATCATACCCCCTTTGGACGGGGTCAAATATCCAAGGTGCCCAATACACCTTGATGCCCAATCGAGTCGGTGACCATTGCAACAGCCGGAAAGGTGTGAGTGTGGTTCGTATGCTTCTTCTTGGTTGGTTTGGGATCAGGGTTTTTGGCCAACTCTTCTAAGTGAGCTACCAGTGGTCCACCAACCCGATTATAGCCCCAGATGTCGGCTTTTCGTCCTCTCACTTTGGTGGGAAAACACCTCCGCCATGCGAAGGCAGTGAGCAGGGTTTGAAGCTCTTGGTCGTCTGGGGGCATTTGGCGAGGTGCAAACGAAGGGTGACCAGCCGCAACCCTAGACACCCCCCACGACCATACTGAGGTTTTCGGAGGCGCTTTTCGTTTTTCATGCTATCAACCGGGAATGCATAATATGCATTTGTTAGGCGTCTGAATTGTGATTTTATTGACTTCTTTGTGGTCTACGGCATTTGATTATCACGAGAGTCTTCTTGTGGTGCGGTTTCTTACTCGTTTTCTATGGTCGATTTCTTTGCTCCTGTCGTGATTGTCTCTTGGTGGTCATCTAGTCTGTTTTAAAACTCATTCTACGCAGGTGGTGCTAGTGAAAACTTGGTGTTCATTACTTTCGTTGAGGGTATTGTCAAGTCAAATCAAAGTCAGTCAAGTCAAGAAGCGGCTTTAATTCTCCCCATAGGGGATGAACATTCAGCTACTACACAATCACTCTTCTTTGGAAATTACATGGTAACAAAACGTATGATGATACTTTACATATACAAAAAGCCAATTTAGCAAAGGTTTTGTCTAAGAGTCCTAACGACAAGATCAGCGTTGGCAAGAAACCGTGCCAAGTACGGTATTATAGAAGACTTGTATGTAGTGGTGCGTGCTGCTATATGTTTATACATGGAACGAGTGCTAGATGTGGAGATACATTGACTAAGGTTTAACATTTGTAACACACGAGGAAAGTATGAGCCTGTGAGCGATGTATAGTGTGTTTTAACCACTTGCATCTTCTGGCCCACGCGGTTCCGCTTCAGGTTTAAAATCAGATGGTACCTGCTACGATATCCGCTTAAAAAGGCCCGACGATGGTCCGACTACAGACTCCTCAGTTAGTCTTTTGGATCGAAGGACACGAGCGGGGGAACTTGGGATCGCATTTCAACACCTATATCGATGCAGTTGCAGGTTTTCCAATCAAGCTTGTCTGCGATTCAGTGCCAATCAGAATTTGTACATTGCACGTCTCTTTGTTACGCCAGTTAAGAAATAAAGCGAATATAGTGCACACAATGGACTGCTTAGTTCTTCTTGTGATTCGATTACGGGAGTGAAGCGTGTGTATGAAAGAGAGAATCCAAAACGAACGGGGTACCGTGAGGTGGATTCCTTCGCCCCATAGCAGCGACTGAACGGGAGTTTAGAGTAGCAGTGGACTTGATGGCAACCAATGTTTGCGTGCCTGAACATTCCCGGTAAGAGTCAGATAATTGTCAACCGATCCTTTTATGCACTTTTCGTCGGGGTTCGCGTCTCTGAGGTTTCATCCTTAACCGATAGTTTCGCTAGCATTGTGCTCTTTCAGAACTGTCACACATACACTATCTGTGATCGTACTGTTCCATTCCTATCCTAGACACAGACTGCCAAATCCTCAGCTGGCCCTACGATTGAAACGGAACCCTTGAATAACCAACCGTTGGGCGAGGGTGATGGGTCCGTATCCGATTTCGAAGTAGCGGTCGAGGCCACTGCAGTCCCAGAGGATTCGGGTAATTTCTCATTCTGAATTTCTCATGAATTATTGATTCCCAGCAGCAGATAATGCTTCGTCCATTTTGATGGCGGATGACGTGGCAGATCTAACAGCGGTGGAACATCGGGCTACCGACTCTGATACATGGTCAGTTTTCATTTTCTCTCTCTCTCTCTCTGTTTCCAGAAACCATTGAACTCTGAGCTCTCTATATGTCCAACTGCTCTGTGCCTTTGCTTCATATTTTTTGTCATGAGTAGACGTAGACGTAACTAATAACGACGGCCTTTTTACTATTTATTTATTTGTTTGTTATTCAGTAAAGTAATTCATTTTCAGCAGAGGGGCTGCAGCCGATTGATAGGCTGCCAGATGGACAAAACTACAACCAATGTCGCAATTCATATATATATATATATATATATATATATCGCAAATCCCTAATCTGCCACATGGGCTGTGGTTTTGTTGACATGCAGTTCTTGAGCAGTCTGTTTGAA